CTTCCCATCTTGTTAAGCTCCATGAAAGAGGGAGTGGGCAGGGGGTGCTGCTTCTAGCTGGAGAAGGGGGGAGTGCCTTGCTGGAGGAGATTGAAATCTGTGTTTACCCAATTATTGGCCACAGTGCTTAATCACTCTGCCCTGGATCTCTGGCAGTCACAGGGGCAGTCGGATGTGGAGGCGGGAGACAGATAGGATTTAATAAAGAAGCAATTTTATGAAGGAATACTTTGCTTTTGGCATGTTCTGTAGGAGTGGGAAAAATGATAGTTTTTCTCCAGTAATGATAGGGAAAGCAAAAAAAGCAGAGCTCCGGTTTCCTGAAGGACCGAGCCCATGTGCTCCCATTGCCTCCACATCCCATGGAGATCCCATAGGGGAGCCAAGGAGAGGGGCATGAGCGATCAGGGGAGAGCCTTGCCAGGAGCCAGAACCCCCCTGCAGTGTACCTGACCCAGGGTCACTCCTGGGCAGCCAGTGGCAGCAGCTGTCCCACCTGCAAGGAACAGAGCCCCGAGGTCACTGCTGTGACCAGAGCTGACCACAGCCCAGGCTATTCCCATCAGCCACGTGTCATCACCCAGTAGCCATAGCAGAGGAGGGAAAGGTTTCTATGGAATGAGCCCATGGGGTTCAGTGTCACTGCAGTGGTGGGAGAGTGGAGGCAAACAGGCCAGGAGCTGGGCTGGGAACTTACCCCACACCAGGGAGCTGTGTGATTCCACCCCAGCCAATTTCAGCCAGTAATCCTTACAAACACAAGGCCTGTCCCCAGCACGTTCATCCTCCTTGGGAAGCATTTGATTGGCATCCAGGCATGGTCTGTTCTGAACAATCCAACAAGCAGTGATTTATGTGATGTCTTTGTCTTTAGACACTGCTGTCAGCAATACCCATTCTCCGGCAAAGCTGCCAATGCCTGCAGATATCCAAAGGTCTCTATCACGGACATGCTGCCCTTGCTGAAGGATAACAAACAGAAGCTTTAGTAAAAGTAAAAATGATAATTTGCTAATTTTATTCTGTAGCTATGCTCAGCCCCCTTCCCAGAAACCAGAGGTCCCAAAGGCAAGATTTCCAGAACAGGAGGGAAAACAAATTTATATACTATCCTGGGCTCCAAAGATTCTCCTACAGCTGGAGAAAATACCGGATGCCTTCCCAGCAGCTACTCACAGAATGCCTTTGTCAGTGTTCAATATCTTCCATGTACCCAGAGCAACAGAATAGCTTCCTCAGCATTAATGGGAAAGAATCCAAGACAAAAATCACTACGGACCAAATTATGGTTGAAGTTTGTTTTTTTTTCTGCAGGAAAAATCAGTGTTTGAGCAGTATCCCCTGGATACAGGAGCAGCTGATCACTGCACACTGCTAGCTCTCACTCTGTAAGGCAAAAGCGCTTGGGCTGTCTCCCACACCTGAATGGATCCAGCTGACCATCTCCTTTCCTCCAGGTGACTTGCAGATCTCCCAGTGGGCTCCTACATGCACAGTAGACCCCCTCCCCTCCATGGACGCACTGCTGTGTGGGGCTTGCTTTTCTGCACTTCTTACACTGACTGCTTTCAAAACCATCTTGGATACCATGGACAAGGCCCTGAGTACACCTGCAAGCTTCAGGCCTGGCAAACCCAGCAGGTAACAGAGCTTTAGGGATTTTTAGTGTTTAAATCCAACACAAGCAGCTCTTTGGACCCAAGAGAGCTTTGGGAACTGTTTTTTATGACACCTCTGGGTTTCACCTTTGCATCCACCTTTCTCCAAACTTTACTCATCCTACCCATTGCAAGGCAGCAGCAAAGTCTCCACCCACCTTGCTGACATCCTGAGCACTGGTGCCTGCCCTTCATGTATCATCTGGGTCTTGTTTGTGATCTTTGGATGCTTTTGATTAGTGACTCTGTTGCAATTTCCTGGGGGCACTGGTGGCTTTTCTCTGTATATTAAGTCTTCACAACAAACAAATTCCAGCCCTGGTACAACAAGTGATCCTCCTGCCTGTCATGGATGGACCATTGCAGGGAAACAGGTAGTTTCTCAAACTTTTCATTCCCCTGCAATGCAATCTTTTATTCCTTTGCAGCACTTTACTATTGACAAAAATGTAACTTGAAAGCACTCAGATTTGGCCAAAGGGTGATGTAGGCATTCATCCTGCAGAAGGAGAATCACCTCTTTCAGCTGGTCCACCTGGAGGCAGACCTGACAGTTCAACTCGCCTCCTTACCCATCACCCCTTCCTCACGTTCCTTGTGTAGCATCAATTCCCTCTCCAATTGCCTTCCACAAGCCAAGAGAAGACACCACTAGCAACTGCAGATATCTTCTGTCCCACACCATGTGGCCATCACCCAACAAGGTGACCACGGGGAAACCCTCCCATCCCAGCACCTCCTTTGGGGTCTGTCTGTCCTCGCCATTTCCCCACAACAGCCACCGCACCCAGCAAGTCACACAGCACGCCTGGCAGAGCCGCCTGACTCATTTTTCTCTACTCCTCCAGCTGATGTGTTTGGAGGAACACGCTGCTCTGACAAGGTGACACATCCTGAGAAAGCCCACACTGCCGAGGACGGTACCGGGAGCACCCAGCGCAGTAGCAGTTCGCAGCTCTTTTTCATTCCTCCCCAGTCAAATGAGCCCCAAGCATTTCTGTTTGGTTTTCCTGAAGGGTATAGAATAGATGTCAATCAGGAGAGAGGAGCCCTGAAATCCCACGTTTTTGAAGGCTTCTCATAAACACGCAGCTGTCAGCAGAGACGCTTGGAAAGGAAGGGCAATTGCTAACGGAGAAACTGCGTTAAAAACCAAGTGTGCCTGCTGTTCAGCTGCAGCAGCGTTAGCAGCCTGTGCTGGATCCTTCTTTTTGCACAGGCAACTGCCCTTGACTCTGTTGGTTTGGCTCAATTCGTTGTGGAATAATTAAGTGCAGTCCATTGTATTGCATAATCTGGAGTTTCTTCAACCTGCTTCAGTAGCAAAGTACTTAATCTCATCCAGCTCTGGGATCGGTTAGGAACATGAAATTCAGTCAGTGCAAAGCTATCAGAAGCCTAAGCTGTAAGAGGATGAAGAGAGAAGTGGCCAGGAGGCAGGGGGAGGTCAGCAGCCTGCCTCTGCTTTGATGCCTCTGAGTTGTGGAGGAAGGAGAAAACTACACTGTTACACACTTGAACAAATGTCCCAGGAGCCAACACAGTTCCCACTTGCAGAGCAGTTCTCATAAACGCTGAGGATTTACCCATCAAACTCAAGTTTGGAAAAGTGCCTGGATGTTTCCAAGGAATCTGAGGAAAGAGATTTCTGTTTCTGGACAATCCCAAGTATCACATTTCCCGGCTACAGCAAGGATCTAAACTGAAAAATGTGCAAATGTGTTTTACCAGGAGTGGGCACATCCCAAACAAGAGTAATCAGAGAAACTCTTTTCAGTACTGCTCTGTATACACATGTTACAGATTGAGGAGGAAAATCTTTCCCCCGGTTGCCCTGCTGTGTAACCATCAATGCCCTTGTGAAGTCCCCTTCCAGCTTTGGGAATTGAGCCCAAAACGCCTATTGGCACCTGTTGGGTCTACTCACACTGCAGATCTGGCAAGTAACAGGGAACAGTGCTGGATCGAGAGTAATCTCTTTCAGCTATAAAAAATGACTATCCCTCCTTCCCTTGCTCCTCAGAGGGTGATAACACCACATGAACCATTGTCCCAGGCCCGCTAAAGGACTGTTGCCTGCACTCAGAGGTCTGCGAACACCCAGCCCACCTACTGAGAGCTGCTGGGCGGGTCATACCCCAAACCAGCTTTACTCACTAAGTTAAAATAACAGATGCAATTGGGAGCAGTTCTTTCTGCCTCATGTCAGAGGGAAACCCAGCTGAGAGAGAGGAATCTCCCTCACCACTGAAGCAAAATCATGAGAGATGTTCATGGCAGGGGAAAGCATCCTCCACAGCTGTGTTCGGACTGGGACATCCCTTGGACAGTGGAGCAGCTGCCAGTGGAGCTGAGATTCCCCTCTCACAAACAGCTCCTTGAATTGCTCTTGGCATTGACTTTTCCCGTTCAGCTAATTAAAAATCTGTCTTTGAGTCATAAGCCCCCATTAGTAATAATTTGCTTTGCACTTCTCCAGTGATTTATGGCTGAGATATCAAAGTGCTTTAGAAACATTAATTAATCCTTCTAATACCCAAGGGACTGATCCACTCTCTGCAATGCACCACTGGTGGTGTAACTGTAGGAAATCCCCAGGGTTTACTCCAAACTACGGGCAGGGAGAGGGGAAAGGAGCAGCATCCAACCCAGTGGCTCATTTCAGCTGCTGCCTGCAATCAGAGATGTGCAGTCAAAATAGCAGCACTGAATGTGCAGCCTCAAGCGAGCCCCAGGCACAGCCAGGCTCCCTGCTCTCCAGCAGCAATTCTTGCTGCTGTCCCTGTCTGCCCAGGGAGGGAAGGGGAGCTGCAACACCCCAGCTCTGCTCTGTGGAACACACCAGGAAAGGTGTGTGTGGATCAAAACCTTCTTCACTCACAAGTGGTTTCACCAAACATCTTCAGCCTGAAGTGGCAGCGACAGGGCCATTAATCAAAGCCACACTACTCCTACTAACACATGTATTTCCCTTGCTGTCCTTCCTGTTTCTCCAATCTGCTGCTTGTACAAAGCCGCTTTATCACAGCTTGCGGTGCAGACCTAAGGCTGTGTCCCACACCTGGGATGGGGCTCCAGTCCTTGCTGGTGATAAGGATTGTTAACTCCATTGGCTTCGGAGAGCCTTTCATCTTTGTGCACACCAATGAGCCAGTTGCCACCTGGTGTTGTCCCAGTACTTTGAATGTTGTCACCAAAAGACTGTGGGGTGGAGCTGGCTGTTTGGTGTGGTGCCAGAGACTGGGAAAGATATAAAGGTCCCAGCAGACTACCAGAGACAGGACCTCTGACAGACTGAGGAGTGTCCCAGTTTCTCTCTGCTGTGCGCAGTGAAACATCACCTTGACCATGAAGGCAACTGGCATTTTCCTGCTCCTCTCCCTGGCACTCTGTTGCTACCAAGGTGAGTGCAACATTTTGCTTAGGAGCCGTTTCCCCTCCTTGCTAAAGCTCCCAGGTCTGTCATATGGGAAGGTGAGTCTGGGAACAGGCCAGCTGGTGCTGGGACCTTGCTGTGGCCCTGGGTAGGGAATGCTGCAATGGCCAACGTGCATTAAACCAGCGGTCTGTTAGCAAGCCTAAAACAAAGGCTTGGAAAGGGTGCCTGGCACCTGCTCCCAAAAATGAGCAGACCTGCTGAGCTGATGCTCTTCCTTCAGGGCTACGATTCAGCCTGGAGCTTCTGATTTCTAGGACAGTGTGATCCTTTTAGACTGAATAGGTGCTATTCTGGTTTTAAAAAAGCAAATCCAAGAAGACAGGAAATGAATCTATGCAAGGGAAAATGCAGCTCTCAGTACCAAATCCAATGTTTAAGCCAACTGTGTTTTCAAAATCCCATATGGTGCAGAGAGATGCAAACGTGAGCTGTTGCTGCTCCTCAGGTCCTGCTCACCGGGGATGTCTGTGTTTGTGGGTTCATTCAGAACAGGAGGGTGCTTCAAAGCAAGTCCTCCACCATCCTGTTTACTGCGCGGCAGTTGCCGCTGCAGACCTGTCTGAGCACAAAATCTGGACTCATTTCAGATGAACTGAGCACGTAGTGAGCTACAGCTCCTGGGTCTGGATCAGTGCTAGTCCAAAGTAAAAACCCTGAAACATTAAATAGAGATATAATCTGGATCCTCCATATAGCTGACTTCTGGATCTGTAAGAAACCCAAGATCTTCTCAGTTCTGACTTTTGCTGAACAAATCTGGGTTGTTTTTCAAAATACATTCACCACATGTTCCACCCATGTGATCCCAGTTGTCAGCTCAGGGCTGGAGAAGCCAGCTGAAGTCACGGCTTGCTCCCACCAGCTTTGGTGTGAGACCTCAGGGTCCAATCATTTCTCCTTCTAGTAGAGACCTTCAGCAACTTGTCTTTTGCTTTGCTTCTCTGTGGTACAAACCTACTGACAGTAGAAAAATCACTCTGGATTTACTCCAGCACTGGTCCAGCATCAGCAGGAGTTTCTCATTTACTCATGAATGTGTGATAAGAGGTAAGAAAAGCCCCCTTTGCTCCTGACAGCTGGCAGGCGAAGTCACTAGAAGTGTATCTTGCCTTGGCAGGGCCTTGCACCATCATGGTGTTTCTGCCAGGGGAAAAAGGCATATGCATCAGGGAGGGACCCAGATGAAAAATGTGGGAGATCCAAGGGGAGAAATTGTTTTCTGGGACAAAGGTGTTTGAGTGAAGACATACAGTCCTCAGGCTAAAGCATCTTTATTCGGTTCTCCTTGAAACCTGCCCAAGTTGTGGGTGCTAAGACATCTTCTCTCTCTCTCTCTCTCCCCCCCCCTCTCTTTCTCCCCACTCTTTCTCTAGGAATTGCTGAGGCGAATCGAGCTGCTGGCAGAGGAAGAGAGGTGAGGGCTCCTGTTTTTGTGGAGCACAAGTGAGACAGCACTAACCCATACAACTGGGGAGCCACAATTACTTAATTCAATGAAGTATAGTGGGTTGACAGCCCAAAGACGCCGGTGCCTGGGAATCTCATTCCACCTGCTGTGCCTCAGCAAAATCCCAGTGATGGTATTGGTTTTCCACTGTATTCCTTTTCCCCCTCCCCCTGCCCCACACTGGAGGAAAACTTATTAAAGAGCTGAATACTGCTGTCACCTGCCAAGAAGACAGCTCCCCTTACTCTCTGACTTTCAAGTGTGAGAACAGGTATTGTTGTGGCATGAAAATAAAAGCTGGGAAGAACATGGTCAGGCACTGCCCATGGAGCACTTATTTACTCTGTACTGTTACTCTTTAGGGTGTGCAGCAGTGCCAGGAGTGGAGTTCAGCTGGCCAAAGGACATGGTGGCAAAAGGTCCCAGTGTTTCTGAGAGCTCATAGCAGAGCTCTGAGCAAGCTGGAATGGGTTATCAAGATAGAAAAAATATGCACCTCGCTGTGAAAGCAGAGCTCCTTCGGTAAATCAAAAACATGATTAACATTTTCAGCATTACCCTTTTGTGTCTCCAGCCATCCTGTGACAATTTCAACCTAAGCAGAGGTTGTTCAAGGAACTTTGAACCCATCTGTGGCACGGATGACGTCCTGTACAGCAACGAGTGTCTGTTGTGCCTTCATAACCGGTAAGCATCTGAACCTGCTGCAAGGCTAAATATCACACAGATGAGGGCTACTACGTATGTCTGGGATTTCCTAGAAAGAAAGCTGTTTGCATGCAGCTGGGTGGAGCGTGGGCAGTGAGCCCAGCACATCTGGCACGAATCTGGCCTCCTGCACAGATGCTGCACCCACTGCTCTGAGCATGTGGACTCTGGCTGAGAAATAGGTCCATTGTGTGCAGCTCAGCACATGAACTGCCCACAGGCAGGGGCTACACGGCCAAAATCTCCCCCTACCTGCAGCTGCCAAACTGCAGCGATAGCCCAGACTGTGCTGGCGGGCATCCAGGATCTCAGACAAATGGCAAATTCCTCAAAGTCTGCCCAGATCTAGCATGGAGGCAGAAAAATATTTTTCCAGATGACCTCAGATGTGTGGTGGCTGAGGAAAAACTATGTTTTTTCACCTCAGCAATTTATAGCTCAGCTCTGCTTTTTGTCTTCTCTACATATGCAAGGATACAATTTGCTCTGGGTATTTTTAAGAATGAGCTTTATATTTAATCTGTGCTAGTGCCAGATTGCACTGTTTTAGCAGAAGGCCAGGCCCAAATGCTAGCAATGTCTCTGGCAAGACTTGATTCACTTCATCTGGCTTGGGCCCTAGGTAATTTAAAGTATATTTATACATTGGAAGCACTCTGTGTCAGACAAGTGAAGGAATTACTTCCAACTCAATGCTATTAGGTGGTTTGAAAATCTCTGTTGGGAAGATTGAGTTTTATCTGGAGCCAGATGCCCCAGTCTGCAGGGTTAAGGGAGCTTCACCCTTGACTTCACCTGGTGTAGGTAGGGATTTTTGGTGATCAGGCTCACAAGCCCATCTGCCACCAGCAGAGACATCTCTAACAGAAGCTCAAATTCCATCTTTTATGTTCCTGAATGTGGAGCCAAATTCTGCTTTAGGGAGCATTGCCTCCCAGCTAACTCTGCAGTGACAAGGAACAGAGTCCAAATCACTAGAAAAAAGAGCCTGGATAAGAATTGTTGGTCTGGTTGTCCCCTCTTTGCTTCATTAACCCAGGCTGCTGCCCTATATTCCATTCCTAGCCTGCTCAATCGCTGGTTTACCTTTTAAGGCTGAAGATGATGCAGTCAGGCAGAGAGATGCTGAGTGGGATCTCCTGAACAAAGGCAGCACGGTTAATGACCCGGCACGGCCTGGCAGGGCAGTAATGACCATGCTGGAAGGCAGCAGCCCAGCACCAGCTGTCGCCTGCCTTGTGCAACAGATGGGGGTGGGAGGTTCATCAGACACAACATCATTAGGGCATTGGCCATGAACCAGGAGCCAGTTAAAGTGAATGAGAAAGGCTCCAAAGTCAGCAATGCTGGAAGCAAAGTGGCGTCGAGGATGCTTCATCTCCCCAGTGCAGAGAACAGCTTCAGAGAGTTGGGAGACTTCAGTGGTCACAAGAAGGAAAGTTTGGGGTACAAAAAAGAAAGAGACTGAGCTGGTGGTATCTCCAGAGCCAACCAGGGGAGAAGGGTTGGATGAGAAGCTGGGGCTAGTACCCACCTTGTGTTGACAAGCACTGTGTCCCTGGACCTCTTCAAATTCCCCTTTGTGCTCTGAGCAGCTGCAGCTGGAAATGTGCTGCTCCTGCAGGTCAGAGCCCCAAGCCTGGCAGCTCCCCTCTACTGTTCTCAAGCAAAGAAATTCTGAGGTTAGGAACAACAGCTGTTTGGTCTCCTGGCCACAGTGATCTGGGCCAGGTACCAGGACTCTGAAGCTGCCTGGTGCCAAATGTCTTCAGGGAGAGATAAACGGAGTGTCCTCATCTATAGAGCTTTGGTTCATGGGGAAAAGTCAGGTAGCCGAGAGGCAGGATAAAGTGTCATTTGCAGTTTTGTGTGTGCAACTGGTCTGACAAGAGCTGGAAGGCTGCAAGGACTCTGGGAATAACTGTGGAGAGCATCTGGTGGGTCCCTGCAGCAGCAGTGTCTCACTTGTCGCCTTTGGTCATTTCACTGTGACCAGCATACAAAATGTGTTTTGCAAAATGCAAATCGTTTTGCCAGCATTTCTCTATGCACCTGAGAAATGGGTCTGTCTTTACAAAGAGGAGAATGACATGATTCCATGTGAAAATGGAACAATTCAGAGTAATCAGGTCTACTACTGGGGGAAAAAAAGATTTATTTCTTTTAAGGTGCCCTTTTAATATTTTCCTCACTTTTGCTGCAGAAAAAATCAGGAGGGGAGACTGGGAGCAGGCCAAACCCCAAACAAGACACGATGGCAGGCATTTGTCTGTAAAAACCTACAAAACAAATTCATAACCTTTATTGTTTGCAGCCAGACAGGCATTAGAGGTGTCTTAGTGCTGTCCTGCAGCACAGAGGTGAACTATTCTGCCAGGAGGTGTCAGGAAGCACTCTTGAACTTATTGGAATTAATTAACACATGTCCATGGTAACCCTGAACTCCCTGTCAAGAATATGTGTCCTTGCTTGCTGTGAATAACACTTAGATGATGATTTAAGCAGTATTTTCTTTTCTTTCTGCCTTTGTCCTCTGAGCCAGGCTCTTCTGTGTCTCAGGGACCCGAAGGCACCCTCCAGCATGTTTAACTGTCTCTTCCAGGCAAAGGGGCGCTAGTGTGCGCATAAAGCACAGAGGAATGTGCCAAAACCCCAATGCACGCTCCACTGACTAAGAGGCACAACCTTTCTGGAGAAGAGAGCACAAAGCTGTTCCTCACCTGCAGAATCTCCTAATAAAGTAGAAGCATTACCATGTCGTGCTTTGGGATTTCTTACACACACAGCAGACCCCTTTCCCTGACACTTATAGTACCTCCCTGAAAAATATGGCTTGTGCTGGTTATGTCCACAAAGAGCTGTGAGCAAATCAAATTACCGACAGAGATGCAGAGACAAGGTGGGGACATGCCCAAGGAGAGAGCCAGGCTTGACAAGGAGGCTCTTTTTTGCATCAAGAATTTTGTTTTTCTTTCCTAAACTTCCAGCGTCCACACAATAGGAGATTTTAGCATTCTCATCACTTGCAATTGCATTTGTTAAATACAGGGCATTAAAGCCCTTACTCCAGAGTCTTTGCCAGGAGGAAGAGTCCAACAAGTCATCTCCACAGTGACATGCCTCCAGCCTTGTCCATATGCCCCATCACATGGTCCCTGTGCACCAAGAGTCACCAGCCTCACACTTGTCCTGCAGTTCACAGCTACCCACTGCCTCAGAAAACCCAAAAAGCTCCATTTTTCCAGGCAAAAATCTTTTTGTTTCTCTTAGTGGCCTTGGTGTGCTTTGCTACTCGTACCAGGGCTGTGGGCTGATGGGAGAGGACATGCCCTGCCAAGAAGAACTTGGGGGTGCTGGTGGATGAGTGGCTGGACATGAGCCAGCAATGTGCACTTGCAGCCCAGAAATCAGCTGTGTCCTGGGCTGCATCAAAAGAAGAGTGAGCAGTAGGTTGAGGGAGGGGATTCTCCCCCTCTGCTCTTGTGAGATCCCACCTGCAGTGCCGTGTCCAGCTCTGGGGCCCCCAATACAAGAAAGATATGGACCTGTTGGAGCAAGCCCCAAGGAGGCCAAGAAGGTGCACCAAGGGCTGGAGCATCTCTGCAGAGGAGACAGGCTGAGAGTGCTGAAGTGTTCAGCCTGGAGAAGAGAAGGCTTCAGGGAGACCCTAGAGCCTCTTTCAGTACCTAACGGGGCTCCAAGAGAGCTGAACAGGGACTTTTTATGAGGGCCTGGAGTGACAAAACAAGGGGGAATAACTTCAAATTGACAGAGGGCAGGGTTCGGTTAAATATTAGGAAGTTATTTACAGTGAGGGTGGTGAGACACTGGTTGCCCAGAGAAGTTGTGGATGCCCCATCCCCAGAAACATTCAAGTTCAGGGAGCTTGGAGCAACCTGGTCTAGCGGAAGATGTCGCTGCCCATGGATGGGGGTTGGATCAGACACCCTATAAAGGTCCCTCCCAACCCAACCCGTTCTGTGGCTCTCCGCGGCGCCCGGCGCGGCAGGACGCGGACTGCGGGTCCCTGGATGGAGCGGGAGGAGGTTTCGGCACTGGAGGCCGCTGTTGCTCCGCCGCAGCCGGTGCCGCTGCCGCTGCCGGAGCCGAGCCCGCATCTGGAGCCCGCAGCTGGACTCCGCAGCTGGAACCCGCAGCTGGGGCCCGCAGCTGGCGGGGGGTTCCCGGCCGGGCGGGCGGGGAGCAGCGCTCGCCCCGCGGGCGCGCAGCGGGCTGGCGGTGCTGCTCCTCCCAGCCCTGCCGGGAGGCTGGACCCGCTGAGCTGGGGTAGCCGAGGCGCTCTCGGCCTCACCATATCCTTCTTCCTCACACCCCGGGACCCACAGGCAGGTTTGTGGGGAGCTCATGCTCCGCCCGGGAGGCCGCAAGGACATGAGTGGTCCCGGCAGGTCTGCCCTGAGCTGGAGGGATGTGTCTGCCTTGGCACTAGCAGTCCTGCCAGCTGTTCCCTGGAGCGCTGGGTATTCCACTGCTTGTGCCAAAGGGCTGTTATAAGTCAACACAAAACAGCCTGGGACAGAGCAGAGCTGGGGGTCAAATCCTCTTGTGATTCCTAAGAATCATAGCCCTTGAGTAAATGACTGTATGTGGGGCAAGCCAAATGCTTTGTCCTTAGCAGATCCTGAACTTCACTGTGGTTAGAAAGATGAGTTCTCTTCATGAAGAAGCAGCTGAAACACACGCATACCAAAAAAAAACATGATCAAGCTGAGAGAACTCCAACACTCGCTTGAAATTTCTAATGTAACCAGATGCAGCTGAAGAGGGGGGAAACACGGGCTCCTCTTCCCAGATCTGCCAACAAGTCTGTGGTCGAGGGAGAGATGAAAAACCACTCACTTTGCCAGTATGTAAAATTAATGCACTAAAGGTGGTAGCCCCAAATACACTTGGGACTGTGAATTGCCTTGACATCTTGGCACACAGGGAATCCTGGAAGGGTCTCCCACAGCTGGGATATTGCTGATTCTGCTGCATCATGAGAAATGGAGCATAGTTTTACCTGGAGAGATCTCTGTACATGAGGCTTGGCAGGGGGGAAGCTGAGCCTCCTCATGCAGTTCACTCACTGCTCTTGGACTTTGTGGCATGGCTAAACCCAGCTTGGCTCCAAACTCATCCAAGTTGGTTTCTTCCGCTCAGTAGAACATTGGAAAGATTGCACTGAGGCCACCTTATGCCAAGCAAAACATATCTCCTGCCCATGCCATTTCTGGGAAACATCACCCAGTATTAGCCAAGAGCATTTCTTAGATGAAGTGAGGTGCTGACCGAGCCTGCAAAACAGCAGGTCTCGTCAGCCGCATGGCTGAGCGCAGCCTGCATCTCCCCAGGCACTCTTCTGATGAGAACTGGCATTTCTGCTAAATGTCAGCCACATCCATTCCACAGCAAGGTCCATATCAGGCTTGAGATCATGGGAAGCAGCAGGTCAAGGGCTGCTCTGTAGGTACTGCACAGTGGGGACGTATCAGGCAGAACCAGCAGCAAGTTTCCAGAAGTGAATGATTCCTGCCCATATTTCAGTTTTGGCTTGAACAAGGGCAAGTCTGAGGAAGCTTTAGCAGGCGCAAAGGTGTTTCATTGACCTGTAGACTAGGTTTAGTTTAGACTCATCCACAAAAGCCAGTTTTCTACCCCCATAAGGGTTCTTCCCTGAAGCCAAGGAGGGGAACACTTCATCCTAGCTGCTCCTCTGCCATCTGATCACCAGCAGAGCCTGGGCTGTCCTGCCAGCAGCCAACTTGACTTTTCTGAAGCACTACCTTGTTTCCCTGTGTTTCCATGATGCTGTTTCCAGTGCTGGTGAGCTGTCAGGGATGGGAAGAGTAAGGGGAAGAAGGGTAATGGCTTCAATTCTTGGTTTCTTTGTCTGTCTAAATAGCTGCTGCGTTTCAGACTCCTTACAAGGGCAGTGCTTCTGGTGTTGTGTTTGGGAGAGACCTGAATGCATTTTGAATGATGCAACTGGGGAAAAACAGGGTTTGCCAAATCAAAGGAAGGACACAGCCATCCACCTCCCTCCATCTTCCCTCCTGGCTGCTCTCAGAGGGCTCAGCCAGGGCAAAAAGGGAAAGGCCAGGGGCACTTGGTGGGTAAGGAGAATCCCAAAGGATGATACAAATGTTGGGGAGGGGGCCTCAGCCTGGGAAAGCATGGGCAAAGAGCAATGCAATTCCTGCCCCAGTGCCGTGCTCTGGGTAACAAGTAACTGAATGACAAAGGGGTGAAAAGCCAAAAATAACCATGATGGTTGCAGCAGCTGGGGCTCCACAGAGAGCAGGATACCCACAGGGCCCAGCCCCTGCCAGCTCCCAGCCTGCCTGCCCTGGGAGCACCAGCACATCCATGGGAGGAGCAGGTGGTTTGCAGCTGGCGAGGCTTCCCCTTCTCTCCCTCCTCCTGCCATCCAGGTGCATCTCTCCTGCACTCCTTCACCAGGATTTGCTGTTCAGGTGGAAACTTTTCAAAGCAGGGTCGCATCCGGCTCAGTGTATCCAAAGCAGCCCTGGGTACTGCCAAGCCTCAGGAATGTCACAAGGCTGATGAAAACCAGGCAGCTAAGGACAGAAAACCCAGGGGAGCATTTTCTGATCAGAAAACCATGTTTCTTTAAATTCAGACTTTTCTGCCAGTAAAAATTCCTGTAAAATTCAGCTGGGGAAACCCTTCCCCCTCTGTCTCCTGGAACACTTTCCTGAAACTCCCGCCTGGGAGGCAATATCTATTTCCATTGCCAGTGGCATTTGACTTCATAATGTCATGATAGCAAACTGTGAATTCAGCTTTAGAACTGGACTAAGAGACTTTAGTGAAATGCAATGCCCCAGCTGAGAAGAAGCTCTGGATTTCTGGTAGTTGCAAAATATTCTTGTTTCCAGGCCTGTTTGGAAGAGACAGCTTTGGCACCACCTTTGCCCACTGCAGCCTTCCCCAGACTTCCTCTGCTAAGCAGGCTTCTATTTTAGCCACATTTTCAACATCAGGTTGTTTTTTCTAGACTGGAAATAAGCACAGTCTTCCTCAGATTTTCTGCAGCTTTCCTTGGGGTGTATTCAGTTTCAGGAGGCTTGTTTTCGGGGAGCTGAATTAAACCCAGTTTGGCAGGTTGGCAAAAAGAGCTCCCCTTTCCAGACACCCCAGGGGAACCCCCCTGCTGCCGATGAAAGGCTCCTGTGTGTTATGATGCTGCCACCAGCCACCTCCTGGATCTGTCCTTTGGCAAAGGATGCAGACAGTGGTGTCCCTGTGCCCAGAGCAGGGCAGAGATCCAGAGCCTGCTCTCCTTGATGGGTACGCAATCGCTTCAGCTGCTGCTGTTGTGACAGCCTCAACAAGAGATGTCAGGAGTGGCAGCAAATGCAAACAGTTTTGTCATGGTGGAGAGGCAGCTGCCAGCCCAGCGCAGCAGCACTGCTGTGGCAGAGGGTCACGCTGCCAAGCTTGAGGCCACAGAAGAAAATACCAATTGGTTCCACCTGAGTAGGAAATGACAGTGCTAACACTCTGCAAAGGAAAAGTCTGACCGAAATGGAAGGATGCTTTTAAACTGCAAATTTCCTTTCATCTAAACCACAGCTCAGGCTACACTGGGGAAAAACTGTCCTTGGCAAATGTATGGGAATGAGCTGGAAGTGGCTCTACACCAGTACAG